ATTCTGATATTTAGTAATATTGTGAGATGGAAGTTGTTATATTCATTTAAGTTTCTATACAAAATGAAAATGTTTTGGAGTCAATATATTTTCTTTTTTTTTGTTATTTTTGGATATAAAACATATTTGTCAAACTTTAATGAACGTAGAACAAGTATTGCATTGCTTTATATTTTTTGAAACGACTCATAATAATTTTAAAGAGTAAAGAGTTTTAGTTCAATATTTTTACTTCTATTTAAGTCATGTCATAAGGCATTTTTAGCTCAATTTTCGCATTTTAAGGGCATTTTTTGCACTTTTAAGGGCATTTTTTGCAGTTCATAAGGGCATTTTTTGCACTTTTTAAGGGCATTAATTGAGATTTTTTAGGTCATCAAAATCCGGGCTCTAGTAATAATATTAAACTGGATAATTTAAAATTTATTATTAATAAGATTGATATTTAATTATCGAATTTTAATGATTTTAGAAAATTAACAATTATTTAAAAAAGGAAGATTATTTGCTCGTTTTGCACGGATTTCTTCCAGGCCCTGAATTATTATTACTGATCAAATCCATGAAAAAAGGCTCAAAAAACAACATCCAAACATACGAAATTTGAAAAACGAATTGAAAACGGAAACAAAGTGAAAACGAAAGTAAGTTAATAGTGTATATAAGGAGAGAGAGAGAGAATAGAAATAAAATAGAAATCAAAAATTTGGAATAAATGTTAAGATTCTCTTCAGTATGCAGTCATTTACGACAGAGGGATTTCGAAATGAAATATGATTTTCCTAAGATAAAAAATAATTCTTATAATGCATCTATGCCTAGAAAAAAATGAAGCAATAATGCAATTGTGAATATGTTTAAAATGAAAGAAGAAAAGCAGAATTTCTAGGACTTTACATACAAACTAGGAATAAACCATTTTTCGGCCTTTTCTTCTTTCAAAGAGTTTACCGTTTATAAGTCAGAGCCTACATAAATGGATAGAAAGGAGTTTAGAGAATTTATCTTTCATTCATACATTCTTT